GCAAACGGAAAGCTTATCGCTACGTATGGCAAAAGGGTTTACGCGAACCCATTCACTGAATCTTTGTGGTTGCACATGTTTCTATGCCGATCATTGGTATGGACCTTCTACAGCACCACAGCTTAATTATCGATACGCGCAAACGGAGGCTAGTAGACGGAAACACTAATTTATCTGCTTGCGTAACTTTTTTCTAGTTGCAGATTATCTCCTGTCACAATTAAGCACACTATAGACCCCTTCTATCAACCACCACTCGATAAGTATTCTGGCATTTACCAGTCGCAACCGAAATCGCTGTGTGTAACCAGCAACGTTACAAATCATATCACGACTACAAGAACACCTGTATTCTCTAAAGCACACCGACTGGCCCCAGAAAAGTTAAGGTTGGCGAAAAACGAATTTGACCGCATGATAGACTTAGGAATCATACGACCATCAAATAGCCCATGGACATCTCCGTTGCACATGGTCCCTAAAAAAGACAGCAACGATTGGCGTGCAACTGGTGACTATCGGCGATTGAATGCAAAAACCATTCCCGATCGTTACCCGTTGCCTTACATTCACGATTTGACAGCTACCTTGAAAGGTGCAACAGTTACTTCGAAAATCGACTTGGTTAAAGCGTATAACCAAATCCCTATGGCTACTGACGATATTCCGAAAACAGCTATCATAACTCCCTTTGGACTTTACGAACTTTTGCGGATGCCTTTCGGTCTAAGAATCGCTTCACGAACCTTCCAAAGGTTCATAGACGATGTTTTTCGAGGTTTCAACTTCGTACGTGCGTTTTTTGACCACTACCTAATAGCAAGTCCGGACAGAGAATCGCATCTCAAGCAGCTGGACCTTGTTTTCAACCGACTACAAAAACATGGCATTACTGTAAACATTCAGAAATGCCAAATCGGAACCGACTCTTCAGACTTCTTAGGACACACTATCGATACGCAAGGCATCCGACCCCTTAGAACAAAAGTGGCGGCTATTCTGGATTACCCAGAACCGACCACCATCAAGCAATTACGCACGTTTAGCGGTCTGGTAAGTTTTTATAGACGGTTCATACCGAAATGCGCGTCCCTTATGAGACCTCTTACCGACCAACTTCGTGGAACTGCGAAATCCATCAATCTGGATGACACCGCGAGAAAAGAATTTTCCACAGTTAAGGAACGTATCGCCCAAGCAACAATGCTTGCTCATCAGGACACTGAAGCGCCCATTAGTATCTCAGTAGACGCATCCGACTCAGCAATCGGAGGAGTCTTACGACAATGGGTTAACCACTCCTGGAAACCTTCGGCATTTTTCTCTAGACGGTTGCAAGACACTGAATCGAGATGCAGCACATTCAGTAGGGAAGTCCTAGCTATGTACTGTGCTGTACGGCATTTCCAACACTATCGAAGGCCGAGAATTCACTCTTTTTACCGACTATGAACCTCTTATTTTCTCTTTAAGCTCATCTTCAGACAAGTACTCACCACATGAGTCTCGACAACTGGACTACATTTCGCAGTCTACTTCAGATATTCAACACATTTCTGGAGCAAACAATGTGGTCGCAAACGCCTTGTCTTGCATAAATTCCTTGGACAGTTTCCAAGTAATCGAACTTCTAAAACTCGCCTAGCTTCAAAGAGAAGACAGTGATCTTCAGCAAGAGTTGTCCCCAACAACACTTAAACTGCGCATTAAACAAATGGGAACGAGTAAGGAAATCCTACTGTGTGACACATCTACAGGTAGGGATCGCCCAATCGTGCCCAAAACATTGTCGACGCAGCGTCTTCAACACGTTGCACAGACTCTCTCATTCAGGTGTTCGTGCAACCATCAAGCTTATAGCAGAACGGTTTTGCTGGCCTGGTATGAATAAAGACGTGAGAGAGTGGGCCCGCTTTTGTGTAAGCTGCTAAAACTCTAAGGTTATTAGACACAACAAATGTCCCTTAGGCTCGTTCAAAACTCCCGATGCTCGCTTCGACCATATTCATTTGGATTTGGTAGGACCTTTACCAGATTCAAATGGATATTCTTATCTTTTAACCTGCGTAGACCGTTTTGCTCGATGGCCAGAAGCAGTACCTGTCGAGGACACTAATGCTGAAAAATGTGGCCCGCGCCTTCGTTAAACGATGGGTATCAAACTTCGACTGCTCAACAACAATCACTACAGATCGTGGATGCCAGTTTGAATCCGAACATTTTTGTTGTCTGACCGCAATATTTGCGATCACTCGCTTCCGAAAGACGACCTATCACCCACACGCAAACCGGTTAGTAGAACGTTTTCAGCGAGGACTAAAAGCGTCACTATTAGCCACAAACATTTCTCAGTGGACTGACGCTCTTCCACTCGTCTTACTAGGTATTCGCAATGCAGTGAAAGCTGACATTGGATACACTGCGTCTCAACTCGTTTATGGTACGATACTTCGACTTCCAGGAGAATTCATGGATCCTTCATCCTCTTCGATGAACATAGGTCTAACCTCGTACACGAACTGGCTTACCAACGCAATGCGTTCAGTTAAACCTCTTTCCAGTCGACCGCGATCAACTGATGTTTTCGTTCAACCTGACTTAAGATATAGTACACACGTCTTCGTTCGTCGAGACTCGCATCGACGACCTCTCGAATCACCATACGAAGGACTTTTCAAAGTTCTTCAACGCGAACCCAAGTACTATGTAATCGATAGGAACAGAACCAACGATAGCATCAGCATCGTTCGCCTCAAAGCAGCGTATTTATGAGGAAATCCTATTCACGTCGGCTTTCCTTCAGTACAATCGCATGACACGACTCCTGCACTCAATAGAAAGGCTACACACACGATGATACTTCGTCGGTATCAGAAACTAAACTCAAAACAACGCGTTCTGGAAGGACAGTAAGATATCTAGAACATTTAAACGATTACTGCACGTAAGAAACTAGATGACATTTTACATCGTCTCGATAGTCCCTTGTACTACATGTAATTTTTTTAAAAATTTTAATATACTTATATATATTTATTTTTTTTATTTAAAAAAAAACAAATAAAAACATTATAAAAATCCTACTTTTTACGCTATTACGTGAACATGAGTCTATTTTCCATTTCTTTTTCGCCTGCTTTGTGTTTTCACGCGCGTACGAGTGTATTTCAACATGCACTTACTTTTTTTCTTTTCCAAGACGTCTGGAAAAGACGATAAAAAGAACCATGAAGTTTGAGAGAAACGGAAATCTTCATTGTATTTTTCCCTTTTTTATTATATTGTACATCATGGTCCTTTATAGTAAGGAAAGGCGACCAGACGTTGTTGAGCATAGCAAGCTATCAGAAGTGTTTACCAACGAAAAACTCGTTGGGTTTAAACTTCTGGCTGGCCACGTCTTAGGGTCATCACTACCCCACTAGAGGGGGAGGGTAACCTGTAGCTGCAAATAAATTCCCTAAATAAATAGCTCTGTAAGTTTTCGACATCGGATGCTGACCACATTAGTTCTAATGGACTCATCTAGCTGAAGGCGCTTGGTCATGCATCCACACCAGATCACGTGTGGGAACGCCGTGCTCAACATCTACCGCAATCGCTAACCAGATTAGTTCAGACGATCCTCGATATATTGATAGCTTATCAAATATATCTCCGAACCTCCTCGCTTCTGTCTTTTGATTTCACTTAGTGTGTACGCTTCATATTAGGTGTTACTGGTTAAAGCGTTGTCAAACTCCGAATACCTGTGGCATCTTCAACGTAGTGGAAGTCACTATCCTTGAATTTGGAAAACTAAAGAGCCACATAAAGAAATCGAACGCAAGACTTCATTAATGAAGGTGGGTTTTTAGTTTACGAACGAATAGCAACTAAATATCACAAAACACTTTCTTTTTCAAATTCTCCTCTATCTCCTAATTTATTTAATCAATTATACTTAGCCTTAGGTCTATCATTTGTCTGTCCGGCTATGTATCAGATATGGACCTTGTATGATCTAAAATGTACTCATTAGTATTAGAATCAACAACCGAATTTGAAACAGACTCTCTTGGTTCCTTAAATTAAATCTGACTAACATATCGGTCGTGTGTAACTAAATCAGCTCTATTCTAAAAGCGAGTACTGGGTACTAAGTCAAGGAATATTATTTTGTACGTTTACCCAGAGTACCTTTAAGGATTCTGGAAGGCATCCTCCAGGAAATTTTATTTCGGCATCTTGATGAAAACTTGACTCTCCCCTAAGAGAATGACCTTATTAAAATATCTCAGACATTTTTGTGGCATAAGAACGTTGGCGTACCTTGAAACACATTGTATTACCCCTGCTCAAAACGTTTGATAGAGTTTCACAAAATGGACTACTACCTAAATTAAGCCATATGGAGGAAAGTTTTATCAACAAAACGCCGGAAAGGTTTTTAACTGAGTACTCCATAGAATAGTACATATCCTAATGTTTCATGCATGTTTTTCTTATACGTAAGTAACACGCCTTGTGTCCTATAACTATCGGCCTTCTTATATGCCAAAGGTATATATATATATATATATATATATATATATATATATATAGGAAGAGCCTCACATCATAGAGATTACAGTTTCCAGCCGCGGAAATTGTCTGAATGGTTTAGAATTAGTAGTTGTTGCTCACTATTTACATCAATATATGCTTGAAACTCAATCTGTCAAATCACTCACCAGAGTAATAAATCAGCTGAATAACTATCATCTCCAGTACTAACAAAAGCCATCCAGCATCCGGTCCTTGATATACTTAAGGGAGTAAACAAATATATTCTGACTTTATATAACTATTGATGAGCTGACTTTCAAGAGAATATGGTGAAAATTAAAAAGGTGAATAACAAACTGAGAAACTGAACTATTCGACACATAATATCGGAGATATACACACAGCGTTTAGCTTTGATGAAAAATCAGATAACATCTGTTTAAATTTATCACGTCTTCATAACTCTTACGAGTACGAATTTGACTGGAGATTTATTTTTGTTGAGTTCTACTGAGTTGTTGCTTTTGGAAGATGGTAGGAATATGAGATTAATATATGCACCTATTTGGGTTTAGAAAGAAGATACAAAATACTTTATATTTGGCTGTATCGCTATTACCGGGGGAATTTTGATTAACTTGACTTTCGGTTACTTCTACACTGTTGGTGAGTCCTTGGAATACGTCTTCTTATTTACCAGCTAATATGGTACCCTACATAATGGGATATGTACAAACGGCAATAGATCCTCACATATCCAATCAAGCTTCAATATGGCTATCAGCTATTGCTTTAGCAGTTCAAGGTATTTCAATGCCTGTTGGTGGCATAATAGCTGATAAATTGGGATTTAGAGTAGTGGTTGCAGTGAGCTGTCTTACAATGAGGTATGTTATCAGAGATTTTCTTTCCATATGCGTATGATTTACATTCTGTATTATGATGTACTTATGAATACTTTCATGAATATTTAGCTTGCTAATTTAATTTTATATGGGACTCTAATAGAAGCAGGATTATTCAAACTGAAAAAAGTTCTTATAGTTTCAATACTTATTAACTTGCTTATTTTTTGTAGTGGTGGAGTTATTTTGACTTACTTTACAATACGAACAACTTATGTTGGCGTGGTTATAACCTATGCAGTTTTAATGGGGTCTGGTTTGGGACTTGGATACTCAGTAGTATTGACAGTTTCAGCTTCGGTAAGAAGTTTTGTATGAGATAAGTTTTTAACAAATGTAAACTTTTCTATAAAAGGTGTGAGAATATTTGTTCGGTGATTCTACATAATTCTTAAGCTATATTTTGCCTAGGAATCATGAAACTACATCATGCATCTTATGAAATTAAAAGTAAAGGCTAACTTCGTTTTGAATCATTTTTTTCTAAGATGCGATAATATATATACGTCAATTTATTGGTTATGTTTCCAACTCTTTTAGGATTATCATTTGTCTCAGTTGTATGGAAAGTTTCATACGATGAATATACACATTTTCGTTAACTGCATAATTTGCTAAACCAAATTCAGATGACTCACCGAGACTATTTGAGTTTTCTCCTTAAATAATGGACGACAATTTCAAAAGATACATTGAAATGTTTAGTGGTTTACTATCTGTGTATTTGAAAAGTTATTAGTATGTTAGTGATCTCATCCTGTAATATTCATTTAAGTTTGAATAAATGAGTTACCACCAGGATAATAACCTTCAAAAAAGCTGTGATTTGTTGAATAAGTGGTGAAAACATTTTGCATTAATTTTGGTTTGTCAGTCAATAGTGGCTTGTTACATAGTTTTATAGGAGCTAAATTAATTGCAGAGAGTATAATCAGCTAAATTTTAACACACTAACTCAACTCTTTCATTTAGATCTACAAAAACTCGACTTGAATTTTCTCAGTATAGTAGTACAAAATGTCATCATTACATAACAACAAACTAAGTATTATTTTGGCCGACCGTTACTGCTACCTTAACGTCGTGGTCGGGCTTTCATTAGTGATGAGACAATTTCCCTCTTCAGTTCCCATAATTTCTCAACTATCAACTCTATACTGTCTCCTCAAGTATCATCATGGCCGATGATTCTAGTGTGCGAACTACTATCCCAAGTCTACTGGAAGCTCGATCCATACTACACATTGGAGCCTTCAAAGTGTATACCGTGTGTCAAATCAATAACGTGCCTCCTTGGCTAGGACCGCAGAATCTCATACGATTGATGTAGACTGTATCTCCGAAACATGCATACAAGATCGTGGTGTAGTCATTTACTTGACCTCGCCTCGCCAAAATGGAAAAATCTCTTTAGCTGGCGACCCGAAGGCTAATTCTTGTGGAGTGGCGGGTGTAAGCATAGCATCGAATATTCCCATCAGTCATTGTTGGAGAGACCCGTTCTGGAGTGCATGTTTAGACTGTGACCATGGTCTAATACGAGAAGGCGTTTGCTTGCGCCTCATTGGACGCAGAAAACTACATTAAGAAGACCCATTAGAGTTAAAATCAACGATCTGAAAGCCAAAAGTAGATTCTATAGAGTGTTTTGATAGTATGGAGCAACAATTCCAGGATGTTTGGGATGCGTTTCTCCTTCTCTAAATGCACGTTGTTGCTTCAGAACTGGCCTGCGTCAACACCTGAACTAAGGATAGGGATTGAAGTGGTCGAACGCGTCGACAACTTCGCTTATCTTGGGAGTCTAATCAGCCCTAATGGGTTGGCGTATGACGAAATCTCTGCACGAATTCAGAAAGCTTGTTTGACTTTTGACAACTCATGTCACTTACAGCAAAGACAAGATATTTATCTATCAATTAAAGGACGAGTATTCTGTGCGGCAGTTCGTTCTATTCTACTTTACGGTCGTGAAACGCGGCCATCAAGTGTAGAAGATACTCTTAAGTTGCTGGTAATTAATCACAGATGTCTTAGAAATATTTCTCGCATCTGCTGGGATCACTTGTAAGTAATAGTGAGGTTACACGCAATGTATTAGGGAATGATGGTAAACCAGTTGATGAGGTTGTAAATCTTCACCGACTGAGATGGTTGGGCCAGGTGTTACTTATGCCTGAACACCGATTACCACGACTCGCAATGCTGACTAGTGTTGTGGATGGTTGGAATTTAGGAGCGGCCAAACGAAAACGTAGCATCCGTGCTTAAAGTCACTAACTTCTCATGTGAGCCATGTTGGTAGATGCAGACTACTTGGTTGGGATCCTCGTGACTATCGTAACCAATGATTGGAGACTGGGTGACGTGGTTCAGAATCGATCACGATTGCGTAGGTGTATACACTCTTTGTCTTTCATTAAACCTTGAGATTAAAAGTGCTTTATATCTTTCTTTCTACCAACTAATTCTTTCTCCTTGTATAATATTCTTATACACAACCTTTCTTTTATATATTACTACCATTGATGTGACTACTATAAATTTAGTGTTCATCTTGTTTTGCTAATGAGGTGTGGCAACTTGGACTGATGAATATATATGCCTGGTTGTACGTTACAGCTGACTAACTGACTTACTGAGTGAAATATTATTTTGCTGAATTTAGTCCTGAAAGAATCTGCCTTCCATCAAAACTAATATATCTTGAAGCTGCATTAGGTCCGATAAAAATAAGAATATTGGTATCCTAACTTACGAACTGATTGCCAAATCACTGCATATATTTTGCTGATGAAATTGTATATTTGGATTTTTTGCGTACGACATATTTTACGTAACAGTGTACTATCTCGGTCACCTAATAACAAGCCGGATCTCGAAATTACAAGATTTAGCTGGCGAATAATATTCCTACTTACAGTTTTGTATTACTTAGAATTTTTGCTATCTATAACCAAAAAGCTTAGGCGCATTATTTGAGTGACCTTTATTACTTATGATTAACTGAATAATCCAAATGACAATTTTCTGCCAGGAAGAAATGTTGTGTTATTAGAGCTATTAGCACTTATCATATATATAATTATTAGTATTATCTCGTCTCGTTATAGTGGTTCCCAGATCATCGCGGCCTAATTGTTGGAATGGTGGCCGGCGGGTTCGGTCTTGGAGCGTTGGTTTTCACACCAATTCAAACAGCACTAATCAATCCCAATAATGTAAAGGTGAATAATGTTACAAGGTAGGAAAATCGTATGTTGGATAGACATAAAAAATCTTTTATACTGCTTTATTACACTAGAATTATTCAACAGCAATCAATAAAATCTGAAACTGGAGAGTGATCTCACATACAGCTCCATTTCATCCACTGATACTAAATAATTTACCTAAGTAGAGCTTATCCTGTTTTATCTGTTAAATCATAGCTTTACATTAAACAGATTTTGTTCATAATTTATTTTATTGTTTAAAGTTGAGTTAAATATGGTTACAAATTAAGTAGTTTTCGAAATCAATAAAAAGGCTCGTGAAACTGAAGAATAATATTGTTATATTTATAATTCTGCCTTCAAAATGATAAACTAATTTTTTCATATCTTTTAACAAACGGGAAGATCAAGTGTATAGATGAAAACTTCTGTATTTGTATAGATTAAGGTTTTGGTTACTTTGTTCAGAAACTTGAACAGATGTCCTACTTAAAATTTACTGCTGATGCTTTTAACTCACAAAACAGCTTTTGATAGCTTCAGGGGTGTGGTTTAGTAGGCTAATGATCCTAAAAATTATAACACAAAATAATGAAACACAACATAAACATCACTTTGAGTTCTGAATGGTACAAACGGATGCAAAAAGTAGTAATTGGTCTCTAATGTGTTCATCGGTAGTGCGTTGAACGTTTCGACTGTTTTGACCAACATTTCCCAATAAATTAGGCATTTTTATTTGAATAAAGATACCTTGGTTTTAGAGTAATACCTTATATAATTTGCCGTATTCCTTTTTAATTTGTGATATTTTGCGGTGAACTAAAAAACTTCTTGGAGCATTTCAGTTTCATTAAATGTACTTTGAGTGGAAAACATTTTTCTAATCGCACAGGTTTGTAATGGAAGTGGTTTGTGATCACGTAATTATATATATATATATATATATATATATATATATATATATATATATATATATACTATGAAGAGCGAAGTCGTTCAACTTCTGTAAAAAGAAAAATTGAGCATGTTCAACTATGGTAACTTTAAAAGTGTTGAAGGTAATGTGTGGTGGTCGGTGTTCGATATATTCCTTAAACTCCGTATACAGTACGTCTCGGTAACCGTCACCAAATAATGCTCCAACGGTATATTAATCAGAAGGCGAATACGAAGCGTTAATTACGTTTATTAAGGGACCACACACAGATATCCAAAATTACAGATGCGTTAAGCAAGCATGAAATAGTTGTGCCGAAAGGCAAACAGGCAAGCGATCGAGCGAGAGAGAGCAAGGGCAAGAGCGAGCGATCGAGCGAGTCATGAATATGAATAACATGGACATATATATACATAGTGAAATTAATGAATCATCAAGTCAATTAAGCGGTTAATAGTAAAGCTAGTAGTGTGAATAAATGCGTAGGCAGTAAGGCTTGCCGAGCATACATATTCATACAAGGATAACAATAATAAAGGTACATACATTCGCAACAGTAATAAGGATACAATAAGTTATTATAGTGCAGGTGACTTTGTCCGTTTAATAAGTTAATAAAAGGGCTTAACCGAATAGATGAGAGCAAACTCAATTGAACGTGAGTTGCTATAATAGCTCCTCCCAGCAAACAAAGATACAAAAGTGTCTGTGTTTGCGAAAAAAAATGTCAAATTTAACAAGATGGGAAATATCGAAATTTACGAAATTAAGATATATGATAGAACTATCGTATATGTTATTAAAAATATGTGTAAGTTTGAGTTGGTATATGTCGTGAGGCCAAATAAGATCATAACGGAAGATCGGAAGAATACATAAAATATGTTGAATATAATAATAGATGAGCTAAAATTTTCGATTTGTACATAGAAAATGAAGATGAAATTTACATTAGAAGAGGTGAAAGAAATTATTAATTCAAAATCGTAGCTATGTATCGTTGCGGCCATCTCACTCTTCGGCCATATCTCGTCGTTACTGGATTTTCTTCGTTTGTGTTGGTCGATGTCGTTGATGATTGGGACTCGCGTTTCGGTGGTTCGACAGTTTTCGCAGTACCTGTATATATTGGCTGATCGTCGGTTTCGATGAAAGCTGGTTTGACTCTGTCGATGCTAATTACATCCGTTTTTCCAGCTTTTTCTATCGTAATAGTTTTATCGTTTCTTTTAATCCCCTTGAATGGACCATCGTAGGCCGGTTGTAAGGGACGCTGCACATTATCCCTTCTGATAAACACATGGGTACTATCGGTCAGTCGTTTTGGCATGTAGACACGATGTTGCTGTTGCCTCGGAAGCGTTATCCTCAGATCACCCATATGTTGCTTTAGACGTTGTACATAGTTGGCTATATGCAACGGGGATGCCCAGGGACTATTAGACGGTCTTACGATACCAAGCTTCATCAATTTTTCGAACTCTCGTTTCGCAATCTTCAACCTATTTGGGTCTAGCCTCCGTGGTCTTGCGTTGGTCGGTGGACCTTTCGTTATAATATGGTGCTGTACAGTGTGTTTAAGATCTCTGTTATCGTATGATGCTCTCGTCAAATCAGTGAACTCATTTAGAAGCGCTCTATATGGCTCGCTTTTGTCTTTTGAGACTACTAAATTCATGGATACGTAATCGGTTGTCACTCCTTTTATCACTACTGAATGGTCTCCGTTCACGAGCCGGTTTCGTCGGGTATCCACTAGTAAGTCGAAATTCTTTAAGAAATCAATACCAATTATAGGTACGGATACATCTACGATGACGAATTCCCAGCGGAATGAAGTGCTACGACCAAAGTTCAAGGTTATTTTACGCTTGCCATATGTTTTTATATCGGATTTATTTGCTGCCTTAAGCGTTAGCGCTGTATTAATATTTCGCGTTTCGTTACTCACTGGAGGCACAACGCTTACTTCTGCTCCAGTGTCCACTAATAACTGAGCACCTGTTACTCTGTCCTGAACGTAAAACAAACGACTGTTTCTAGGAGCTGTTCTAGTTGTCGCGGCGTTTACCGACAATCGGTGTGATCGTTTGAATTTACATGGTGGTCGACAGTTTCGAGCTTTGTCGCCAAAAGTTTGGTGGTACCAACATATTGTAGGAGCTGAGCGTCTCCTAGAACATGATCGACTTCTATCTCTCGACCTAATTCGCGACCATTTTCTTTGTATATCGCTCTGATTTAGTTTCGTCAGCTTGTAACATAAAACGTTAATCTCCTTTTGTAATGCGTCAATTCGTTCATCTACTGTGGTATTATGTCTTTGCGGACTCGTTTGTTTCATTCTCTCGTAAATCCTATCGGCTATATTAGCAATGTTGTCTATGTCGACATCGCTGTCCTCAACCGCGAGGACCTGCTGAACGTTCGGTGGGAGTCGTCGTAGCCATAACTGATAAAATATGTTTTTATCTATTTTTCTGTCTCCAATTATGCTTCTCATATAATTTTTTAGCTGCGACGGAGTCCTATCTCCAATCTGCACTTGACTGAGAAGCTGCTCGACGGCTTGTCGGTCACTTAATGAGACGGCTTTAATCACAGCCTGTTTAAGTGCGTCGTATGGCTTTTCGATGTCTGGCTTAGTTAAAACCTCTCGTACACTGTCGGCTACTTCATCCGGAAGTAGTGAGCTCGTATGGCCGAATTTATCTCGCTGTAAATGAACACGATTAGCAACAAAGTAATGTTCGAGTCTAATGAACCAGAGTTCAGGATCTGTGATCTTAAAAGAAGGAATAGTAACATTCATGGACCTTACGGACGAAATTTGTGGAAGGTCTATTGTGTCGTTATTTAAAGACATGATTATAAAGATCAAAAATTATACGTATATACTGTAAATGTCACGGAGAGAAATAAATCGTTAAAAACAATGATAATACAAAATGGTACAATTAATTACAAGGAACGGACTTACTAAATTGCACCAAAATATCAATTGTTTGTAAAATATCGTTGTTTATTATGAATATTAACGTTATGTTCAATAATGTTTGTGTGATAATGTACGTATAATTAAAATGGTGACATAATAAATCCACAGTAATGATTATAATCCAAATGCTAGCTCGAATTGAAATAAAGTGCGTTGGATTCTCGGAGTTGGATTACGTCGTCGAAGATTGATTCTTGCTCGCACGTTGGGATCACCAATTCTGTGGTGGTCGGTGTTCGATATATTCCTTAAACTCCGTATACAGTACGTCTCGGTAACCGTCACCAAATAATGCTCCAACGGTATATTAATCAGAAGGCGAATACGAAGCGTTAATTACGTTTATTAAGGGACCACACACAGATATCCAAAATTACAGATGCGTTAAGCAAGCATGAAATAGTTGTGCCGAAAGGCAAACAGGCAAGCGATCGAGCGAGAGAGAGCAAGGGCAAGAGCGAGCGATCGAGCGAGTCATGAATATGAATAACATGGACATATATATACATAGTGAAATTAATGAATCATCAAGTCAATTAAGCGGTTAATAGTAAAGCTAGTAGTGTGAATAAATGCGTAGGCAGTAAGGCTTGCCGAGCATACATATTCATACAAGGATAACAATAATAAAGGTACATACATTCGCAACAGTAATAAGGATACAATAAGTTATTATAGTGCAGGTGACTTTGTCCGTTTAATAAGTTAATAAAAGGGCTTAACCGAATAGATGAGAGCAAACTCAATTGAACGTGAGTTGCTATAAATGTTTTGGATCATAATCACAAATTATCTTTTATTTTATGTGAGTACTCAAAAGAATTTCAACTTTTACATGATATGTAGGTATACAGTTTTGTTTTATATTGATAGACGATTTACTGATCCTGATGTTTTGGACCGTTTACCGTCAGCATTTCTCATACTTGGTGGTATTTTGCTGGGTATTCAAGTTATTGGATTTGGATTATTACGTCCTAAACCTACTTCAAAACGTGTAAGTTAAATATTTTAGAATATAATGATTCCTATGCTACAAACATATCAGGATAATTTGCACCGATGATGTGGGGTCCCCTTTAAATTTAGCTAGGTAAAAAGTAAAAGACTATAATTGGAAGAGTGATCAAGCCATAAGCTGGTCTATATAATATTTATCCATAACTACCCAATTGAACAGGTTTTTCGCTGTTTTTTCCTTGCAAAATAAACTATTAGAAGTTATTTAATTTTTATACGTTAAAAATTTTTACTTGAAATCTACTTAAATGAATATAACTTTGTTCGACTAACTAAGTAAGTTATCTCCGACTCTCAGTAGTCGGTAAAATTACGGAATCCCGTGAACATGATTTTATTATGAAGCTGAAAATTAATTGCTCCCTGACTGTAATAATAATCCTCACAAAATGACATCAGTTTTATTGCTCCAAAATTCTTTCAGCTGCTTATTTTTAAGTGTTTAAAAATCAGGCGAATTGTTTATTTTTTTTTATTTTCAAGTCCATAATTAATGAGTTGACTGAAAACTGCAGTATTATAACATTCTAGATCGTGAGTTCTGTTTTACATTCCTGAGCAAGGTTGCATCACTGTATTCTGTAGTCGTGACCAAACAAAATTCACCTTTCCACGGAATACGACATGGTAATTTAAACAAATGTTTTTTGATTGAACTCTTTCTCAAGCCTTGACACCTTTAAATATTCTCAAAGATTTAAAGGATCACAAAACAAAATGAAAAATGTAATCAATATGACTCAGCCAATTATGACCGGTTGAAGTGTAGCTGTATCACCCATAATATTTGATATTTCATTTTTGTTAAAATATTGTAAATTATCCTAAATATAACGATGTATTATCAAGTCACGAACTGACAAAATATTGTAAGAAGGACTATTTCAACGTGAGACGCTAAAAAATGAATAATTTTGAGGAATCCACCTGTAGGGATCATCTCCATAAATGACCTCATATTTATTGATCTTTGAGATGTGTTTTTTTGGGTAGTCAAAATGTTTACTGATTAATTACAAAAATTTATACGATGTGATATTTTTAGCCAACTGTCATACTTGTAAATCCTAATGAGTACGTTTGCATGGTAAATATTAATTTTGTGCTACAGATATTCCATTCAACATGCATCTCTAATTTCTGTTCTAGGCAAGTAGTTCAAACACAGGTAATCCGAGTTACAGCCCAAAGGCATCATCCTCACTTGTAAGTTAAATACAATATGCTATTTTCCGTCCTAATTTCTTTTATTACATTGTCTAGTTTTGTAAATTAAAGTAGCGAGATTATTCAACTGATCAAAGTTATTATAAATGGAAAACTTATTCGGTCTCACAGCGTCGTAGGTTCATGTAGAAGGTTTTATTTTTTTTTTTAATGCTTCACCACGAAGTAATTTTCACTAAAACAAGCTATCGAGTCATCAGCGCTCGTACTTGGAACTGATTTTTGTAAGCATCCTGTCCATCCAGTCAACTACTTTGTACTGCTTGCTACAAGGCAATGTTGGACACTTAGTTCTACGCTTTATGTGGAAGGACATAAATATGTAGATCGTCAACGTAGATGATCTGTGTCGAATGGTTGGGGGCCTACTCGGTTTAGACGGGAATGGTGTGACAAACAGATAACTTCGAACTCACATCTCGCGGTCATCATCTAACATGGATTACCCCTTCGACGTATCAAAGTACTATGACTTTTAAAGACCTTACAGCACAAAGGACGTTATTACGGAAGTATATTAGTAAGAATGGGTGCAGGCTAAAGTGCGACCACCATTGCATGAGCCAGTCCATGGCGTACGATTAACTGGTGAGCGTTGGTTGTCCTTGACCCTGACGAAAATTCATAATCTGTTTGATTTTCAGTGATCCAACTGTCAGATGATTTGGCTAGGGCTCAGTGACATTTCACTGGCCCTACAAATAAATCTGAAATAACCCCTATCACTGTTAGTTTGAATAGATCATACATCGCACTAGGCTAATGTTATCCGAGGAAACCATTGAGTATCCTCATCTCCAAATAAATAAATCTATACTTCGGACTTCTATGCTATAAAATATGCAGGTTATTTATAATAGTTCTTCTGATATGATGTATGGGTGAGAAAGATAATGATTAGTTGTTTGTTTAGTCAGACTAGTAGATAATCTGACAGGTACCCTTATTATTTATTGTGAGTGGTGTGGAAATATATTTACGTCAGGCTAATCACTTTGAAAAGTTTGTTTCTTTACCATTCGCTTTTAAATACATACACTAATTTGCTTATTTTATTACTTTTTATTACTCTAGACTGACAAATCGAGGTTATCTAGGTGAGTCCCAGTTTCCATGGCTAAGTAGAGCTACTGATTTTAACTACTTACCCCTACTAACAGCATGCTGCTTATGAGCGGAAATAAATGTTAGTTCATGGGGTAAATTAAATCTGTATTAACTAAAGGGCTAGCTCACAAGTGAAATCGTTTTTAGAATTCATCATATTTTACACCAATCAGAAATAAATTAACTGAACAAAGGTTTTTGGTATTCAAAGAGACTATAACAAACGGATGTTATATTCCCTTATATTACCAATAATTTCTTATCTTCCTGATAAATTAAGAGAGCAATATCTGGAATATGTTGAAATGGTTGTTAACTCGAGACAATAAATTTCTATTGTTCATTGATAACGGAGTACGTTCTAATGATCATATACATTTCACTGATAAAAATTGATATTCATAAAATTTTGAAATAATTAATCATCATATATTCAACAAATTATCACATTAGTTACAAGTATAAAGCAGACTTTAAATAAATGAAATATGAGGATGAATTGTTAGTAGCATGTAATTACAACGAATTTTAATATTACTGCCCTTTATAAAAATACAATGACTGCCCTGTATTAGATAAAAAGTAATATAACTTTTAATATTTTGTAGTACTTTTTTAATAGTTAAATTACTTGATTTCAACGACGTAGTTGTAGATTGAAATGTACCTCAACCTACTTTGGTCGAAGCTGCCGTATAACCTATACTAAAAACTGACTTCACGTTTGACAATCTGTACAGATTTTGTCTTAATATTAATCATGTACCTAACAATGACTAATGTGGAGATAGATTTTTAAAATTCTAGTTAAATGCTTTGACAGGTGGGATTAAACCGCACAGACAGTGAGACAGTTATTACTGATGGTAATAGATAATGGTTAAAGTGCTAGCTTTAGGTCAATTGATGGCAGGTTTAAAGTTTCTCCATCTTACGTTGGTTTGGTCAACCGAGTAATATGACTACTTCTGAATTAGTTTACACAAAATTAATTATAATCTTTTTTAAACTATTTTAACTTCAACTCGTGTATTAATCATTAGTAAATATTTTATTTTTCAGGGAAATCAATATCAGTCCAAAACAAGTTTTTCGTTATATTGATTTTTATCTGTTATGGTGCATAATGTTCTGTGATATAATACCAATCACTATCATTACTTCTGCGTACAAAGTAAGAGTCAAATTTACATTCGATGAATTTAAATGACATTAAACTGCTTAATTCTGATATTTTGCTCGTTAGTATTTTTCATAAATACTCCATAACAAATATATCTATATTTGTAGACTAGTTAGTATATCAAACTATTCAATATTATGCCTTTAACAATTACATTGAAGAAATGTTATTGTTGTTTGACCGAATAACTGAGAATATTGGTGCCTATTAATCAAAATGAATCAAATGTTTATTTATTTATTGCTGTACCAATCAGCAGATGTAATCGTGTTTATATGACTAAAACAAACTTTATACTCCTATATTCCGAATGATAGTATAATAATTTAAGTTAATAAAAAAAATTGATCAAATATTCAATTTCAACACATATGGATTTGTCTCGTTGAGTGTTTGTAGAAAATACATGATCCAACTCTAATATACCTTGATTTCATTTGATTCGTTCAATAAGTCATTCACTGGTGGAACTAACTATTGATAAGAACTTGTGATATTTCTCATGGGTACGTCAATGTCACTCAGTCTGTAAAGTAGGTGTACAAAACCAAAAGTTTGCATTTTCGGGGAAATGAAATTTCATCTTATCTAACTCATCACACATCACACTGCTCAACTTCTCACATAATGAACAAGTTGTAAAACAATTATTTGTTCTCAGAAGCAGAAAATTATTATTGAAGTAGCAGAATAATTACAGATCAGATGTTTAGTACGATGTAGTTTCAAACTAATTTGTTGCTAATATTCAGTTTTTAATGAAAAATCATATTGTAGTTATATTTTCATTATTTCTTAATAACTGAGGGAAACTGCTTTAACTGTTCATAAAAATTTTATTTAAAAATATAGATGATGTCTCAGACATTCGGCTGTTTTTTTAATACTTTAAGCATTCATCATGATCACTGATTAAAGTTGATTAAGTATGGTTTGTTGTATATTTATTTCAGCTATTTGGTCAAACATTTATTAGCGATGACAGATTTTTGTCAGCTGTGGCTACAGCTTCATCATTGTTCAACTGTGCAGGACGTATTATATGGGGTGAAATTGTTGATCGCGTCTCGTTCAAGGTACTTTAAAGGATGTTATGAGAATTCATTTAAGCTAAAGTTTCGCTAAATCTTTTTTTATAGATGCTATAAAACTGCGAACTGACTTTTATGTTCTTAAAGTACCATAGAAGATATTTAGTTGAAAATTTAAAAAAAGCAAAAAGTTAAAACAAGTAAATAAAACTAAATTACTGGAAATAAATTAATCATACTAACTAGTCATATAGAAATATGTTATTTAAAAATCTAGCTTCAATGTATGTTCGTTCAAAAATAACCTGGAAGAATATCTGAAAACATTATTACCATTCAAAACTAGTGAAAATTAATTTAATAATCAAGGGTACGTCTTGGTAATTATGAAGACGTTTGACAAAATTCATAAACTTCATTTACGAACAGTGAAAAACATTTTGTTTTACTTAAATTGTATAGTATAATCGATTATTAATAACTGATTACTTTAATAAAATTGCAGCTACCAATGTGCACAATGTTACTTACCTGGAGTGTAATTCTGATAACATTTCCGCATATCTCTCTGTTGACGGGGACAACATTAAAAGTTTTTTACACTATATGGGTACTACTCTTATTTTTCACATTGAGCGGTACATTTGTTATTCAGCCTGCGGCAACTGGAACTCTGTTTGGTCCTGTTCATATGGCTGTTAATTATGGCTTAATATTTAGTGCATTTGTAAGTTAACAATTTTTTTTTCACTTTTGGTATATTCATTATACAACCCAGTTATAACTATCTTTAAATTCGGCCGTAATGTGGGCTTTAGAATCCATACAATCGAAAATTTAACTAGGTATAAAGTCATTGATTTCAAGTTTGTGAGCAATTGGGAAGGCGTAAGCATTTCGATTAGTGGATTCTTATAACGTCAAATAATAGAATTCAGTATTAGATACTTCAGTGTACACATAATTATTATTTATCCTAATTTATATTTTGAAGTTTACTTTACCCTAATACATATGCTGTAGGTTTCATGATCCGTTTTTATCTATGTCGCCATTATTTTTATCCAGTTAATAATATATTATTTTGAAATACATCAATGTGAATTAGAGTAAATTTATCCCTGGTTCTATATTGTGAACTTCTTTTTACTCGGTTGTTGCTGCTACCTTGAAGTGGTGGTCAGGCTTGTCTATTATAATGAACCAATCAAGCTATACTGCCTGGAACAATCGTTCCTCTAGGTTCTACCATGCCAGATAGGTTGGTTGAAGAGCGGTAAGACTAAAAGCAGTAAACTTAAGGTCTGAATGCGAAGTCCTACTGCTGTCTGTACAAAGGTGTGACGGCGGTAAGGTGTTTCCTTCAGACAATCAGCGTAACAGCGATGCTGCCCTCCACAAGGAGGGGTGGGGTTAGAAAAGGCCGACCCTAAAAATGCACATCTCTCCTTACTCCACTGATTTCCGTCTCCGGCTGTAAGATCCCAACAAGTACGGGACAAACACGAAAACTACTCACAAAAAGGTCGTGTGTGACCCACCTCAAGCAGTTGTCCCTTGGGCACTGCGGTCACGATCTCAAATAACTAAGATCAACTCCAACCCGATTTCCTTTGCAGGTACCTCTAGAAGAACCCTTCCACGATATGGAAAACCAGGATGTGATAACTGTCCTCACACCTCTGACAGCACTCACGTTCACTGTATTCATAATCAATTTCCCTCTTCAGTTTCCATAATTCCTCAATTATCAACTCTATACATTCTCCTCAAGTATCATCATGGCCGACGATTCTAGTGTGAGAAATACTATCCCAAGTCTACTGGAAGCTCGGTCCATACTACTCATCTATTATTGATTTGAACCAAAATGTTATGTAAAACCAGTGGATTTCTGCGACATCCACTGCAATCATAGACTTTCGTAAACCTAAGCCATCAGGCTCTGAACACAATGAAAAGCTCAAACAAATCAGATCTAGGTTAACGAAAAGTCTACGGAACAATCGTGCGCACTGGTGGGCAACGAAATAAAAGAGATGGAAAAGGCAGCAGCTGTAGGTAACATTAGAGAACTTTTCAGAATAATGAAAGAAACCGGAATTATGAAGTTGAGTGTAATGCGATCTCGGAAAAAGACGATACTCTTATCTGCTCTCAGTCTAGACGTTTAAAACGATGAGTGAAACACTTTAAGGAGCAGTTCAGCTGGCCTTCAGCTACCCAACATTTCCAGATAGTCTGAATGGAACATTAAAAAAGGCCCCTTTACTGTAATTGAAGTTTTAAGTGCTATAGTTATTGTGAAACGAGGAATAGTAGCTGGTGCAGATGGATTAATTCAAGAGGTTTTCAAGTATGGTGGTCCAGTTTTAGCGATTAAGTTGACTAATATTTCAGCTAAAATATGGGAACTGAATGCAATCCCTTCTGACTGGTCGCAATCTCTGATCGTCCCAATATATAAGAAATCATCAAAATCATCTTGTGATAACCATAGAGAGATTAGTTTGACTAACATAGCATCTAAAATACTAGCCTCAATAATTATGGGATTTCTAACAAAGAAAAAATCAGGCTGGCTTCCGACCTGATCGTGGCTGCATCGACCACATATTCACCATTCGTCAGATCTTAGAACATATTCATCGGCGTCCGACAATGATAGTTTTCTTGACCTAAAAGCAGCATTTGACTCTGTAGACCGAGAGGTTCTGTGGCAGTGTCTGTCATTGAAAGGTGTACCTCAGGAGTACATAAACCTTGTGAATGCTCTTTACTCAAACAATACCAGTTGACTCAAAGCTTATGATAAAGTGTCATCTGATTTCGCAACCTCAAATGGTGTCCGGCAAGGCTGTCCACTATCTCCGATTTTGTTCAACTACATCGTAAACTTACCGCTGGAAATAACGTTCTCGTCATCTGAATTTTCGGGAATTAATCTCCTTCCCGAAGGTCGACTTATCGACTTAGAATACGCAGATGAGATGTTTGGTGAAGACACTGATAAAATGCAGTGTTTTGGTAGTACTGAGCAACAATGCCAGGATGTTTGAGATGCGTTTCTCCTTCTCCAATTGCAAGTTGTTGCTTCAGGACTGGTCTGCGTCAACATTTTTGGTGGCGCCCTTTATTTTGTCATTTAGATCGGACGATGTTTGTCGACGGGCTTCCCACTTTAGCGGGCCGGGATCTGACTCCAAATAGATCATATGAATGATTGCTCTCGAAATATACATGTCTCCTATCCTCGAATATATAATTAAATCAGTCAAATACGTATATTTCATACAATTTTTGATCCAGAAAAAATATCGGAGAAGCGAATGGAATAGAGCGAAGCGAATCGACGTGCAGTGGAGAAGGCATGTGAGCCAACTCCATTTGTTCAAGCGTTAATCAATACTTAGTCACACAAAAATAGGCTACAGACATAATACGCTCATATAAAAACAGTTAAGATTGACAAGAGAATAACTATCAAGGTCAAAATGTGACTCAAATGGAATGAATAGATTAGCAAGTTCGAAAGCTAGAATAAGGTATATGGGCTTAACATAATAACCGACACTACACATGTGAACTAAGGATAGGGAGTGAAGTGGTCGAACGCGTCGACAACTTCGCTTATCTTGGGAGTCTAATCGGCCCTAATGGGTTGGCGTATGACGAAATCTCTGCACGAATTCAGAAAGCTTGTTTGGCTTTTGACAACTCATGTCACTTACAGCAAAGACGAGATATTTATCTATCAATTAAAGGACGAGTATTCTGTGTGGCAGTTCGTTCTATTCTACTTTACGGTCGTGAAACGCGGCCATCAAGTGTAGAAGATACTCTTAAGTTGCTGGTAATTAATCACAGATGTCTTAGAAATATTTCTCGCATCTGCTGGGACCACTTGTAAGTAATAGTGAGGTTACACGCAATGTATTAGGGAATGATGGTAAACCAGTTGATGAGGTTGTAAATCTTCACCGACTGAGATGGTTGGGCCTGAACACCGATTACCACGACTCGCAATGCTGACTAGTGTTGTGGATGGTTAGTGTAGTGTGTGCTACTGATGTCGATAGATATAAGTAGTATGTATCATCATTCGAAAGTGAAATGTCTGGTGGCAGAATGTTAAAAAGAGTCGAAGGAAAGAGAATGAGAACAGAGAAGGATTGGTGTGGAAACGAAATGGGGATGAAGTCTGAGACAATCGATTGACATTTTGGAAATGAAGAATTTACTGTATGGTTCTCAGATTTTGCCAAGAGATTCTGTAATTTTGTACTGAAATACGTTTGTTTGTTCTCGTTCACTATTTGGTTGACGTCCACGCGACTATTGTAACCAGTGGTTGGAGACTCAGAGTGACATGGCTCACAGTCGATCACAATGTCGTCGGTGTATACACTCTTTGTCCTTCTCTTAAACCGTGAAATTAAAATTGCTTTATACCTTTTTTTACCAACTAATCCGTTCTCCCTGTATCATAACCTTATATGAAATGTTTCTTTTACGACCATTGAAGCAACTGCTTTGTTCAGTCCTCTGTAAACTAAAATATTTTGTTCAACAAGAAACTGGCTTTTGTTAAAATCTAAAACACCTGCTTCGGTTTGGGCACCCGGGCATTATCACAGCCCTCACACATATCAAATGAGATCTGTGTGGCACATATATATTTGGTGCCTCCTTGTACCAATATCTATGTGTTAAAATAAATAATAAATAAAATCTAAAACATAACCTGTGACTTCTAATTCAATAAGAGAATTATATCTTTTTACCTGTTCAAACACATATTTCACTACTTCACTACGTGGAAACTGATTGACATTGAATATTCGAATAGCTTTCTTCAGCTAATCTAGGTGCCTTAATCTTAAGCCGTTCACTAAATACGCCTAGCGCATTATAATTTTCAACTTACTTTGCTTACCATAAATTCTCAGGAAAAGCTTTACAGGTATCCAAGATTGTATCAGAAAATTCTATCCTCAATATTAATAACCAGAACTACCTGCATATATCCATCGTCATTTTTACTTACTTACGCCTGTTACCCTTCGTGGAGGAGCATAGGCTGCCCACCAAGATTATCCATCCAACTGTGTCCTTGACAATCCTTTTCAGTTGCTATCCATTATTTCAATGTTTGCTTCTGATTCCCGACTCAATGTATTCCTTGGTCCCCCTCTTTTCCTTTTCCATTCAGGATTCCAAGTTAGGGCCTGACTCGTGATCCAGTTTGATGATTTCCGCAATATATGTCCTATCCACCTCCAGAGTCTTTCCCTAATTATTTCTTCAGATGGAAGCTGGTTTATTCTCTACTATAGTAAGTTGTTGCTAATAGTACCTGGCCGACGGACGTTGGGGATCTTACATAGACAATTGTTTATGAATACCTGTACTTTTATGATGATGGTTGTAGTGGTACTTCATGTTTCAGTATCGTACAATAGAAATGTCTTGACGTTTGTATTGAAAATTCTAACGCTGATGTGTTGAATGGCGGTTATTTGTAGTTTCATATACTAACCATTTGTAAGAATACTGCCCTTGCTTTTCCAATTCTCGCCTCTACATCTGTATCAGATTCGCCTTGTTTATCAATGATGCTACCCAGGTATGTGGAAGTTTCCACCTCTTCCAGAGCATCTCCATCGAGCGTGACTGGGTTGGGGCTCACTGTGTTGTATTTCAGGATCCTACATTTTCCCTTGTGAATGCTGTGACCTACTGCTGTGAAGGCTGCTGCTACACTGGCTGTCTTCACCTGTATTTGTTGCTGTGTATGGGATAGAAGAGCTACGTGAAGTCCAAATCGTCTAGTCTCATCCAAGCTGTCCATCCACATTCCCACAAACTCGTCTATTGGTTGACTAGGTGTTTAGAATCAATCCGTAAGAAACTAGCTCCCTACAGTCTGAAGGATAGTTTCGAATTCGTGTAAAGTTTGGACAGCCTAAATGCTTCAGATGAATTCATGATATCTTTTGATGTTTCATCTCTCTTCACAAAGATCCCTTTGGCTGATATACTGATGGGAAACCTGGAACAGAGGAAGTTAAAGCATTCAATCAAAGAAACCACTCTACTGTAGATATATTGATGACATGTTTCTTGTCTGCAACATTCATAAGCATTCTTTGTACCTACTCGATCTGATTAACAAGGCACACAAGGATATACATTTTATTATGGAACATGAAGCAGGAGATAAATTCCATTTCTTGGATATTGGAATCAAACGAACCTCAAACGGCACATTACAAAGACACATTCACTGTAAAAATACATGGACCACCCCAATACAACAGTTTCTGTCCAATGAGTTACAAAAAGAGACTTGTACGGACCCTTTTTGACCGCGCGCGTAAACTTTGCTCTAAGGAAAGCCTGGGAGAAGAACTTGCCTTCATTACAAATTGCCTGCAAGAAAATGCATATTTGGCGAAATTCAATGAGAAGTGTTTCATAACCAACGTCCGTGTTAAATACGATACAGTAGCAAAGAAAACCTGCTTCTTATATCTGATTTTCAAAGGAGATGAGATTACTGGGATAATTATCCACAGGATAAATGCCGCGTTGGAGGTTGCTTATTCATCAGCGAGACTGAAGACGTATGAAATTAACAGGTCCTCTTTTCTCGGTACCTCCAACTGCATTTACCGATTTACATATACGTGCCAAAGCACACACATTTGAAGAACAGAGAGAAGAGTGCATGTTCACATTTCCGAGCACGTTTTAAAAAACGTGAAACTGAAATGCGAAATGGCTATAAAGAGTGAAATAGCTCGGCATTTACTTGACACCGAGTATATGATTGACACTCCACAAACCCTTAAAATTCTTAGCAGACAAAAGAGCGCATCGTATCTTTGGTTTGCTGAGGCAATAGCAATCAAAAAATTTAAACCTAATTTATGTATCCAGAAAGAGATGATAATAACCTTAGTAAACTATTTTTGTCATTATCATTATTTTATTAGTGTCAATTTGTTATATGGTCGTATTTTATGTACACGGAAGCCATCCCTTCACTCATACGTTTTCGTTCACTTAATTAGCTCTTCAAATCCTGTTCAGTTATTACGTAACTTATCGATGTTTCAATAATGTAATAAGAAGACGGAGATTATCAGAACAATGTGATATATTAGCGCGATACATTTCGAACAATCTGATCACACATATACTTGTTAAGAGCATATATATATATAAATAAAAGGTCAACTATAAGATAATAATAATAATAATAATAATAATAATAATAATTATTATTATTATTATTATTATTATTATTATTATTATTATTATTATTATTATTATTATTATTATTATTATTATTATTATTATAATCTGAACACAATTCACTCTGGATAATAAGTCAATATTACCAGGGTAGGTTTGAGGTAAGAACAAACTGTTTTTGAATACACAAAGAGGGTTTGAATTTTCGTATGGCTAAGGCTTCAATAAACCTTAGTATACGCCCTTTCACACTTTTATACAATACCACAAAAGCTGAGTTTAGGTCAATCTTATGGCCTGTTTCAATTATATGTTTAGCAATAGAGGATGATGGATGTTTATCCTCTGCTCTTATTGGGTCACTTGATTGTATTTGTTTCTGCAGCCATTTGGGTACATGTTCACTCACCCTAATGGTAAGATCACGATTGCTCCTCCCTATGTATTTGTGACCACACACACATTTAAATTGGTAAACACAGTGGGATGTGACAATCGTTTTCATGTCTTTTAGGTTTTGGATGAAACATGCACCTTGTTCTTTCTTTGACAATGACCTTAGCTGCGCAATACGTTTTGTTGATGACTGATTTAAGTATTTGTTTCAATAACAGGCTATTTGAATCACCTCTGAATGGTAAGGTGATGTAGATAGGCTTTTTTTCTACCGAGGCTACAATAGGTCTCACTGTATCATGGACTTTCCATCTATTTATGAATTTCAGAGGGTAACCATTTTCTATCAATGTTTTGTTTAGCAACTTAACATCATCATCAATGGTGTCATTTGTACAAGTACGATCAAGCCTGTTAAAAAGACACCTTATCAAACCACGTTTGTATTGCACAGGGCAATAACGATAATAACTAAGGCATTGACCTGTCCACGTTGATTTTCTAAAAATAGATCGCTTGACTGAGCCATCTTCTTTAATTCCAGTAAACTTATTACAACCCTGCATAACCTCTAAAATTATCACACAATCTATTTTACCTGTCTATGAACCTTATTTAATTAATCCATCAGCCTCTTATATTTTTAATTCCAACTCCATATGACCTCTAACATGTTCTTGAATACATATATATTATTGATAGTCCTGATCATTCTATTTCTTTTCGTTCATCTATGTCAGCTGTTTCACATTATATCTCAGCTCAATTTTGACTTTCGATAAATTCATGTTTGTAAGCAGCTGATGAGAGACGACGAATTATAATGAATTCATAATATTCTGCATCAATGCTTGTTCTAGTTTTATTCAAATTCATGTCCATTATATTCCGTGCTTGCCATGAGATATGGAGGTCTTCATAATCCAGTCAACCACCAGAAAAAAAGAAAGGAGGAGAGTAGGCAAGTTTGTCTGACTCCGGTCCTCACTTGCAATGCGTCTGTCAGCTGTCCTCCATGCACAACTTTGCAGTGTAGTACGTCGTATGAATTCCGTATGGTGTTGACGATCTTCTCAAGTACACCATAGTGTCTGAGAAGGTCCCACAAAACTTGTCTATCCATGCTGTCAAACGCTTTCTCATAGTGAAGGAAGTTTGCGTATAGTGTCGAGTTCCATTCAATTGATTGTTCAACGATGATCTGTAGTGTTGCGATTTGATCCGTGCACGATCGATTCTTACAGAATCCAGCCTGTTAATCTCAAAGCTGTACGTCTACTGAATCTTTTATCCGGTTCAGCAACACTGTTGGAAACCTTTCCTGGTACCGATAGTAGTGTGATGCCTCTGTATTTCTCACATTCGCTCAGATCTCCTTTCTTTGGTATCGTGATAAGATATCCTTCTGCCCAATCTGTCGGTACTTATTGTTCTTCTCAAATCTTCTTGAAAAGAACGTGGAGTATGTTTGCAGTTGCTTCTATTTCCGACTTTAGTGCTTCAGGTGGTATATTATCAGGTTCTAATGCTTTCCCACTCTTGATTTGTCTGGTGGCCATCCGGATTTCTTCGATCATTGGTAGAGTGACATCTACGGGAAGGTCTGTAGGTGCTGCTTTGATATCCGACGGGTTCAATGGAACCAGTCTATTCAAGAGTTCTTCAAAGTGTTCTACCCATCTGTACCTATGTCCTTGAATTTCAGTGATTGGCTTGCCGTGTTTGTCTTTGACTATTCTCTCTGGTTTACAATACTGCCCTACTGGTTTCTTCATCGCTTCATATAGTTGTTTTTTATTTCCTCCTCTTACAGCTTTTTCCACTGTCGTTCCTAGCTCTTCCACGTATTTCTGCTTGTCGACTCTAATGCTCTTCTTCACCTGCTTGTTTGTTTCAGTGTATTCAGCTTGTGACTTGACTTTCTCTGTTCTTGTTCGGCTATTGTTAATTGATGTCTTCTTTTTCTTCCTTGAGTCATGCACAGGGTTTCGATAGAAATCCATTCCTCATGGTCATGCTTCTTGCAGCTCAGCACCACCTATTGGCATGTTGCAGTTATTGCTTCCCTAATCCATTTCCAGTTATCCTGCATAGTAGTTTCTACCTTCAGTAGATCTTGTAAGGCTAGGAACCTGCTGATGAGTGCTATTTTAAATTCGTAGAGTATGCCCGTGTCTCGAAGGAAAGTTGTGTTAAACCTTTTTAATGTTTGTCTTGTTCTCCAGTGCTTCCTTAGTTTTAGTTTCACCGTAAAAAGCAACCTTACTTAAAAGACGCTAACTAGTCATTCATTGTAAATATTATATCCAGTATAATTACGCACCATTCCAATTGCCATATCCTTCTGCAGTGAAACGAAACGAGAAATTTACAATACTTAAGGTATATTTTCCATAGCGCTAAAAGCAATAGAAGACTAAGAAGAGAAATATGAGATCTAGTAATCACAAGCATGAGTCGATACCAAATTTATGTTTTAGATGAAGATTGCTGTTTACAAAGATATAAATACAAATACATACCTAATATCTAATAAGTCATCACTGTTTCTATAGTTTTCATTCAAATTTGAGATGTAATATAAATGAAATACGATCACCAAAAGTGTGAAATAACTTGAAAAATACACACAATACCAAAATCACAAGACAGTAAAAAGTATAAGATTGAAACTAAGAATTTAATTGAATAACAGACACTACAGCTACTATGAGACCTGTTTATCTATTTGCGTGAACATAAATTTAATAAATCGTACTGAATATAACATGTAATTTAATTTATATTTTATGTATTTTTTAAGACTGTAGGAAGCGTTTTATGTGCAACGGTAACGACATTTGTGAGCTATGAAAATGCATATATAATCCAGTTTACTGGTTGTGGGTTTGTATGTTTGTTCGGTAAGTAACATAGACCAATTTCAATGTCGAATAGTTTTAATAATAAAACCATAAAGTGACAAGATCCTGACAGGTTTTCATCATCAAAATTAGGGTCAGAGCTTAAACATTACTGATCTGTTATCTTACTAAAATACTTTTAGGGTATGTTGTGAAATTTGGCGGTACTGAGGTTTACCTAGAGAATATTCAAAATAGGTAAAACCGAGCAGTTATAATTTGCATAACAACTGAGTAAATTTGAAGCTTTTAAAACAAGTATAATCCTATTCTCACATCCATAACAAAGTGTACTTATTATATGTGAATTGTAATTAAAAATACTTCTGAAACACCAAAGCCCTGTAAAATTATACTTTATTGGGATTTAGTAGGAGAATTCTGATATCTTGGACATATTTTGATAAATTATCATGTGACTAGATTGTATAATTTATCAGGTTTTAGTATATGACAAGCATCAAACCTACTGTTGTAACAATAATTCATATAACATTTAGAGTATCTGTAGACTGAGGGATTAACACAAAGAAAGCCTATTAACTAATAAAAGATCACGTTATTAGTTAACATACAACCTTTAGTGATCTTAGTGTTCGGAGAATTGTTTTCTTGCATTTCTGAAACCATCTATTTAAAATCCGTTTAAACCATGATTGTACATGGTATTCTATTCCTCTCAGATCAAGTTGGCTTATTTGGTTTTTATCAATAAATGAACTGAAATATCGTACGATGTCACCTTAAATAATAACTTAAGCATCGTATGTCACAAAATATCACGTCCACGTTTCGACGTATCAATAGTAGCTCATAGAATTTGCTTTCTAAACAACAACTAAATGATGTAATTTTTTTGTTTTTTCTGTTATTTGTTGCGATAGCTCTAGAAAAGTTAAAAATATTCATAAACAGATTGTTTTTGGGATTTCGTATTGTTGGGATTTAGATACCAAGAAAATGTGGAGTGAAATTCATTCTTGTGAATATTATTCTCCATTCAATAGTATTAATATGTTCAATCATTAGATGTAAATTAAGCTTGGACATTTAGCTGGGATGTAGTCTGATAGCTTAGTTTAACAAGACATTTATAAATAAATACTAAAAATGGTCATTTAAATTCCTTTTCATTGCTCAAGAAAAAGTTTACTAAGTTTTTGACAAATAGAATTTTTAATGAAAGAAAACAGTTAACTGCAGTCAACCCGAAAAAATGTTCAATGTAATAACCTGTTTTTAAAGAATATTGAAAAACCGTTTTTTAAGATGTGATCAACAGTGTTGTTTGGCTATACTAAACATCTATTGTCAGCAGAGGAAAATTTATGACATTTTTGTTTGATGATAAATCCCATGGACGGATTGATTATTATACTATAATTTATTTTCATTCTTACCTATTCAATTCTACGGTACGACTGTTACAGTTTTTATGAGTAAAAATAATGTTGCTTTAAAGTTTTACGTTTTGTTAAATGATATACAAATATTTTAATATTATGAAGTAACTTGCTGGTCAATTTTCACGTTTAATTTTATATTTTTTCTTCATTGTTAATAGCATTCTTCCTTGCCTTATGGATTAAAGATCAAAAGATGCCTGAAAAGGTCAACTGTTGTCAACTGTGTACTGATACATGTCGAAGTTTAAGAATACCTCAGCCTATTTGTGTAACTGCTGAAGAACTAGAAAGACTTAATCAGGCTAATCCAAACAATTAAAGAAACACGCGAAAAAAAACAATTCTAACATGATTGTTTTAATCAACTAAGCTATAGTTAACTTAGGTTCTTTGAAAACATGAATAATTTTTTCCTGCTCAACAACCATCAATCGTTTTGTTCTTTTTTTTCTTCGTTATGTTTACTACAAAAATTATTGAGTTTACCAAATTGTCTGTGAATTTTATGATAAACGGAATACACCTATTGAGACATTATAATATACAGAACATTTTTTTTCTAAAAACCATCAGATTTAGAAAACGACTAAAAAAACAGGAAAATGATGCACTTTCAAGTATACATAAATATGTCATGTTTATACCATCTATGTTTTTATTTGAAACTGTGCTCGTAAATGGATAATCTTTTTTAATTTTCTTGTTTTTATGCTGTATTTCTTTATTTTTTTCTTTAACTGGGAGTAATTTAAAAGTCACTGTTATTGCTAATTTGAATCTAATGCTTTATGTTTTAATTGGTTAATATGTGATTCGTTCCTAATATACATTAGCGAACATTTTCATACTGAAGTAAGAAATATAGTTTTATTATAAATGACATTATTTGCTTATATACACAAAAATTAAATCCAGTGAGTTAGCATCTTTACGATGAAGTAGTTCACGTAAATTATTTGCTTAGTAGTACAAACTTAACTCTGTTACTCTCATTTTGTTTTAAATGCTAGTTACCAAGGAAATCTATAAGGAATTGTGTAACAGCATAGTTGCAGCACAGTTGGTGTGATTAAATCCCCAAGAATATGGATAGATGTAATGTAGGATATGATTTACATACTTTGAAGTATATGATAACTTAGATGAAGTCAATTATATAATAATGAGCTGGATAGTAATCAGAAAAAAGCTTAGTACCTGGGACAGTCATTTACGGGAGCTGAAATTTAGTATACATCTTTTTAAAGGTGATTTTAAGTAAAAAAAAATACGCCTTTTGAGGTATTTCAGTTTTTGACTAGGGTGTAGATAATCAAGTTTCGGATTAGTTTATAATTTTGCTCACTTTGAAATGATACTACTGTTTTCTGTGATGCCATTTAAAATATACGACAGCATATTATTACTTCTTGGAACTAAAATGTGGATTTCTTAACAAAATCAGTGGGATATTTGAAGGCTTTTTCTTCTCTTAGATGAATTATAGTGGGTGAATAATAACCAATACTGACAATCTTACATTGGCAAATGAGGTTAGGGAAATGTTTTCATAAATAAAGTTTCCGTTGAATATTTCATGATAACATTTTCGTTTTTATCATGAATTAAGTGACTCATAAAAACACTGATGAACAAAATATGAACTTATCATTTCAAACCTGACATATGCTTAAAGTTAACTAAAGTATTCAAGTTGCAATCTACAAAACAGATTATTATATCAAGTAGCTACAATAAAGGTAGGAAACAACGTAGACAGTAAATACCATTATTTGTTGTTCATAACCTAATAGAAGATCAATAATCAGTATATATCTGGTTGGGAAATTTTACAAGATACGTAGATGCTCGACACAATTTCAATAATTTATAGAAATGAACTGATGGTTCACCAGTTAACTTGCCTCGTAAACCGACACTATTTGTAAAATCATCAGGGTCTCAGCTATTCATTAGTCCACATAGTATATAGTTCTGTTAGGTGTAACACAATATGCAAACAGTCAGTCAGTAACAACGTGGAACTTCATACGTATGTACATCAGTTCGAGTTGCCATACCACATTAGCACAGAGATTCAGTTATCAATTCAAATCCCATAGTGGTAGAGGTACCGAAAGTATAAGTAGAGATAGGGGACATTAAGGTTTGATGATGTTATTAAAGGAGTATAGTCCAGTGGAATAAATTGGGAAAGAAAATAAAGGACATGAAGAATTCAGAAGATTAGAGTTTGAGAGAACACAAAGAGTGGATGCACCTGCGCCATTGCAAACGATTTTGAGCCATGTCATTCAAGGTCTCTAACCATCGGTTGCTATCGTCTCGCGGTCCCCAACCAGGTAGTCTACACCTACCAACATGACTCAGTCCACTTGTCAGTGACTTCATGGATTTGTGCCAGGTTTTGGTCTGGCCGCCCCTAGCTTTCTTCCAACCTACTCCTACACCATAAAACATAGCACGTCGGGGCAGTCGGTGGTCGGGCATGCGCAACACATGTCCCAGCCATCTCAAATGATTAAGTTTCACTACTTCATCAATTGATTTGCCATCCTTACCTAGTACCCGTTTCATAACAACTGCATTACTTACTCGGTGGTCCCAGGATATACGAGCGATGTTTCGAAGACACCTATGGTCAAATATTAGTGACCTACGAATATCCTCTACTCTTACTGGCCATGTTTCACTGCCATAAAGTAGGACGGAACGAACTGCTGCGCAGTAAACACGTCCTTTGGTTGATAGACGGATATCTCGCCTACGCCACAAATGACGCAAGTTGGCAAAAGCTAGTCGAGCCTTTTGTATCCGTGCTGAGATTTCGTCACACACCAAACCACAAGGGCTGATGAGACTTCCGAGATAAGTGAAGCGGTCGACACGCTCAACTACTTCACTCCCTATCACTAGTTCGGGTGTCGACGCAACCCAATCCTGAAGTAACATTTTGCATTTCGAGGGAGAGAATCGCATGCCGAACATGCTTGCATTGTTGCTTAGAGTGGTCAGTAGACTCTGCATTCTGTCAGCGTCTTCACCAAATAGGACTATGTCATCGGCATAATCTAAGTCAACAAGTGGATCTCCCGGTAGAAGTTCAACTCCTGGAAATTTAGATGAGGAAAGCGTCATCTCTAAAAGCACGTCAACAACAAAGTTAAACAAGAATGGAGAGAGTGGACAGCCCTGACGAACACCACTTGAGGTAATCAATTCTGATGACAGTTCACCATAAGCTCTCACTCGACCAGTTGTGTTCGAGTAGAGAGACTTTATAAGGTTGACGTACTTCTTTGGTATTCCTTTCAGTGACAAACACTGCCATAGAACCTCACGATCAACAGAGTCAAATGCCGCCTTAAGGTCGAGAAATACTACCATTGTGGGGCGTCTGAATGTGTGTCTATGTTCTAGGACCTGACGTAATAAGAATATTTGATCAATACAACCACGTCCAGGTCGAAAACCAGCCTGGTTTTCTCTAGTCTGCATTTCACGAGCTTTGGTTAGACGTCGAAGTATTATTGAAGCTAATATTTTAGACACTATATTAGTCAAACTAATTCCGCTGTGATTGTCACAGGAGGACTTTTGTCCTTTCTTATAGACTGGTACAATCAGTGATTGAGACCAGTCAGATGGGATTACGTCCAGTTCCCAGATTCTACCTAAGACCTCAGTCAATCTCGCTGCTAATACTGGACCGCCATCCTTAAAAATCTCAGAGGTAAACCTGTCAGGGCCTGCTGCTCTCCCACGCTTCAGATTTCCTATAGCTTTTTCAACTTCATAAAGAGTCGGAGGACTTACATCAACTTGCCATTCAGGTCGACTGGAGATCGTGGGAAACCGAAGTGTGGCTGAAGGCCAGTTGAACTGATCCCTAAAGTATTCTGCCCATCGATCCAATCTCCTGGATTGAGAATGAATAATATGTCCATCTTTCTCTGCGATTGTTTCGCTAACAGTTGGGTTCCTAATACCGGTTTCCTTAACAAGTCTGAACAGTTGCCTGCTGTTACCTATTGCCGCTGCTTTTTCCATCTCTCTTGCTTTCGCTACCCACCACTGTTCACGATCTTTGCGTAGGCTTCTAGTCAGCTTACGCTTAAGCTGACTCCGCTCTTCGTTATGTTCAGAGCCAGATGGAATGAGTTTTCGAGCATCTACCAGTGCGGTAGATGCTGCTGAGATCCAGTGTTTCTCCTTAACCTTATGGTTTAACGTACTTGCAGACATCACTGCTGTTTCTACAGCTTTTCGGATGTCATTCAACGCTGCCTTGGGGTGGGCGTCACTTACATGGCTGCCTAACTGTTTTTCTAGATGTTCCTGAAATATACTCTTAGCTTGACTATCATTAAGTAGGACCCTAAGGGGTTTCCTTGTACCATCTTTCCTACGTCCAGTAAGACGTAGACAGATACGCGCTCGCACTAGAGCATGATCTGAGTCTAAGCATGTGCTCCAGAATGAGCGACAGTCTACTATCGAGCCCCTCCATCGATGGCTGATAGCTATGTGATCTATTTGGGTCCAGCGTTGAGACGAATTAGGGGGTCGCCATGTCAAAAGATGTTTTTCCTTATGCTTAAAGTTAGTGTTTGCAAGAAACAGGCGGTTATCTGAGCATAGCTGCAACAGACGGTCGCCATTATCTGTCCTTTGAGCCGCGACACCATAAGATCCACCCAGGTGTCTTTCCTTTTCGCTTAGTTTACCTACTTGAGCATTAAAGTCACCAGCCACTATTACTACATCTGAACGCCTAGCTTTTCGGAGAAGGTCGGAAAGCTTTTTGTAAAACTCATCTTTTACATCATCTGAGCTGCAGTCAGTGGGAGAGTAGGCAGAGACGACGAAGAGGCAACGACGAGTGTCCCTATCTTTTCGAGTCCTTACTGTTCCGTTTAGTCGGACAGCACACAAACGACTGTCTACTGGGATCCAGTCTAAGAGAGCTAGTTCTGCCCTAGGACTCAATGCTATACCTACGCCAGCGAGGCCACGGGAAGCAGCATCAGGGCTTCCAGATACACGAAGCATAAATCGAGTTGGTTCGTTACTTTGACATGGTGCAGTCAAATGAATGACACTACTCGGATCCTGTGTGCGCGTTTCGGAGACGCAGCACACATCGATGGAGCGAGATTCTAAAGTCTTAGCTAAGAAAGCTTGTTGTCCTATTTGGCACAGTGTTCGGACGTTGAAAGCTCCTACGTGTAGTTTGGAGCGTGGTTTCAGGAGACCATGAATAACATTCCGCGTACTCGAATCGTTCGCACTAGTGGGGCGAGGTGATAAAGGGACGTAAGAAGAGTAAGTCGTGGAGATAAGAGAGTTATTAGGAGGTGTAGGAAGGATTTGAATGTGACCAACTTGGTCTCGTGTGCTGTTACGGGTATGAGGGCTGATATCACTTCCCGGTTGCCCACACCGTGGAAGGGTATTTCTTGAGGGACCTGAAAAGGAAATCGGATTAGTGTTGGTCTTAGCGACCTGAGTGCGTGACCGCAGAGCCCAAGGGACAACTGCTTGAGGCCGGTCGCGCACGGCCTTTTTGTGGGAGGTTTTTAATGTGTTAGCTCCGTTCTTCAAAGGGCCTTACCGCCGGAGACGGAAATCCGTGGGGTAAGGTGAGGTGTGACATTTTTAGGGTCAACCTTTTCTAACCCCTTCCTTCCTTGTGAGAAGGCAGCATCGCTTCAGATGCTGGTTGTCCGAGGGAAACACCCTACTGCTGTCACACCTCTGTACAGTCAGCAGTATGACTTCGCCCTCAGACCTTGAGTTGCTGCTTTTAGTCTTACCGTTCTCCAATCGACCTGCCTGGCATGGTAGAACCTGCAGGAACATGTGTTCCAGCCAATATAGCTCGGTTGGGTCATCACGATAGGCAAGCCCGACCACCACGTCAAGGTAGCAGCTACGGTCGGGAATATGCAAACAAAGAACATTTGCAGTAGTTTATCCATGAAACAGTTGTTCTTTATGTAAATTGTTAATGAGTTGAAATCTCTCTTGATGTATATTATAGTTTTAAGGAACTTCTGTAAAATCAGTGTCTGCAGTGTGATACCATTCTGATATGTTCATAACATAACAACATCTCTCTCAGTTTTAACATCGTGTAATACTGACTAGAACTGCCGAAACGGAGACGAAAGTTTACAAAGTTTAAGATATGATAATAGCAACTGAATTAAGGCATGCTCTCCGCCCTTAACGCTCTCCACGTACTCTGAATCCAT